TTTTTAATAGGTCGGGTTAAGTGGGTGGATCACTAAATGGTTTAATTTATTTTTTAAAATTTTTGGTTTGTTATATAAATAATTAATATCAACAATTTTTAATTAAAAAAAATTTAATAGATTGAGTGACTTTTTGAGGAAAGGGTGGATAGTTGAGTGACTTTTGAGTTAAAATTCAAAGTTGAGTGACTTTTTGAGAAAGAGGTGCATAGTTGAGTGACTTTTGAGTGAAAATTGAAAGTTGAGCGACTTTCAGAGAGAAGAGTGCATAGTTGAGTGAACATCTGAGATATTAACTCAATTTTTGGACCAACACAAAATAAGGGTAAAAATGTCAATATATAACATATAATGCTGATTGGGCCCTCGTAAATCGTAATTAACAAAGAAAAAAGAGACACATATAAGACCCATTTGGATCTGTTTCCGTCGTGTTTACCCCTCAAAAAAAAAATACACTTCTGAGTTTTTTCAGCCATGAGAATAAGGAAGCATGCCAAAATTTCACCGCTCCACTATGCTCCTTCCATATTTCTCCAACAACACGGTGTCGTTTTACAGCCTCACGTTTGTCAGCTCAATCAGTCTCCATGGGATGTAATCACATTCCCTGCTGAAGATTTACAAAACGATAATATTATTAACCACCACACACTTCCTTCTCCTCCGGCACCGGTACCGTCTTCTTATTCTTACAAGGTTAGTTTAATAAATCTCTTTTTTCTCTCCAGATCTATTGAATAACGGTCATTTGATTTCGTTTCTTCAATGTCGCTTCGGTTGTGGTTTTTTAGGGTTTTTTTAAATCATCGCTAGGGTTAATGGAAACAATCTCAATCTCACCATTTCTGTTGTGTATTTAGCTTTGTTTATTCAATTTATTTCACTGTTTCGCCCTATTTCCCAACGCACGGCTTGTATTCTTTTGAGAAATAAAGTTTTTTTTTTGTTTAATTTATTTCTGATTTGCTTTGCTGCGCGCGCAGTTGGATGGATATGATAGTTGCGCTGTAAATGGGACCTTTTATGATTCTGAACTGAGGTAACTTTTACACCAATTTGTTTTTACTAGCTAGCTACCAGTATCTTCAGAAAACGATAATTACAACTTCGATTCAAAATTTTGGCGTAATAGTTGGGTGTATCGATTCAAAATTTCATTGAGTTAGCATTGTTTTTTTTTTCTAGTAGCATCACGTCGATGAAGATGGAGGTGAGTGATAATGAGAGGAAAGATATTGATAATATCGTCGCTGATGTTCCTGCTGATTCCGGCAATTTGGAGAAAGATGGAAATGATAATATTACAACAATGTGCGTGAAGAATGATGGAAAGGGATGGCAATGCAGTAGAGAATCGAAAATAGGGCATAATTTATGTGAGCACCATTTCGCTCAGAAGCAATACAGTAGTAGCAACAACGAATCAGTTCATTCTACTACTACGGCTACTAGTACTGCTGCTGTGGCTGTGGCTGTGGCGGCAGGTGAGACTACTCAGAGTTCTCGCGGCCGCCCACATCGTTCTAAGAAATCGTCGAGTTCTGAATTTTACTATTATTCGGGTTTTGGTCCTTTATGGGGCAAAAAAAGAGGTTCATCTTCGACTGGGAAGTCTGCACAATCTTCATCTTCTCAAATAGATGATGAAGTCTTTGATTATGAGGACGATGAGGATGACGAGTACGACGATAATGATGATGAAAGAGTTGGAAACAATAAGCTGAAGATCAAAAGAACCCGTAAGCCCATTAAAGCTAGGTCACTCAAATCTTTAATGTAAAATTATCAACAACAACAATTTCTAGCTGTAACGTGTTTTGTGTTATTATATTATCGTAGATTATTGTTACTTTGTAATAGGGACTTTTTAGGGTATGTTAGATTATTTTGGTTTTATGTTTGTAATGTCCTAGTCTAGGTGAGTACATATACTAGCTTTAATTTGCTTCAGTGTACCCGTAGCCTTGGCATGTGTGGCAATGTTTATTATTATTTTTTTTTATATATATATATAAATGTAGACTCTGTGTTACGCTGAACAAATCTAAATAGGGATAGAACTGTAATTTCCATTGTCATTTTTGAATTGTATTCCAAGTGTACGGCGTGCGGCGGTAATATGGTGAGTATGTGAGATCTTCTTCATCACGTGTTTCACTGTCTAAAACAATTCAGTAAAATCATATCATAAAATTTGGAAATTTTAGAGTTCAATTAATTTAAAATGATACTTCTTTCGTTTCGTTTTACGCGACACAATTTTTTTTGTCAGTTTTCAAAAAGAATGTCACATTTTTTTATATGGTAAGTAGTTAAAGGTACAATTATTTTTTTACCCTTATTGATCCCACTTAATTTTAAAGATAGTACCTAACACATTTATGATGAGAGAAAAGACAATTTGATAAACATTTTTAAATCTTCATTTTCTTTAAATTTCATATCCGGACAAATATTGTCACATAAAATAGAACGAAGAGAGTAATTTAAAAAAAAAAACACTAAAAAGAAAAGTGTGTTAAATAAAATGAGACCTGCGATTAATTAATTTTTGTTCCCACCTTATATAACTATTTTTGTTCTATTTTATGGATCATCCTATCATTTTGAATCCGTCCTATAAAGAATGCCGGATTACTACAATTAGAAATAATTTATCCACTCTGTTCAATGATAGTTGTGCACTATACTATTTTGGAATGTTCAACAATACTTGTACACTTTATGAAATCAATGAATAATTTTATATTTAATTCTTAATTTATACTTATCTTTTAATATAGTTGTTTCTCTATTACATTTTTTAAAATATTATATTTATTATATTCAAAAGGTGATATAGTAAAATTACCCTTCTGTTTATAATTTCTTAAAAATTGTACAAATAACAGTGTACAAAATTTTGTAAACAAAGGAAATAACTTTAAAATTTCATAATAGTGAAATGATTCTCAACCACATAAATATCCAATAATTATTTTATACCATATGTTTCAAAATTTTGTATTAAATTAGAGGGTGTCACGTAAAATGAGAGAAAGAAAGTACAATGTAGGCTATTTTTTTCCCGAACAATTCTGATTATTTATTAGTTAAATGTGTGATTTTTTCTTGATTACCATGTAAGGTTTACTGGGAAAAAATAGTAAAGAATCAACAAAACACATATTTAATTACAGTAAATAACTTTACTTGACACACGAGAACTGCAAATTAAATGGAGTTCACAAAAATATTTTGTAATTTTCTTTGGTTTAATTACATTGGAGTATTGCTAGTACTTATGTTAATGTGTAGTTGGATTGGCCTTCTCACTTCGTTGACCAATAAAAACAAGAATAAAAATATAATTTCAATTTTCGTAATCAATATTTATCTCAACGAATTGTTTTATATTCAACGGATGAAAATGTAATTAAAATTCTCTAAGCAACTTTTACAAAAATTATTTTATAAAACTATGTTTATTATCTAGAATATGTCATCATATTGTTGCAATTAGTGGAACTACGTAGACTAATTGATAGGTGGCAACTTAACTTTTATCAAAAAAATTATGGTGTGTGTATAAAAAATAATTATTCCACTATAAATATATTAAATTTAATTTAACATCTTCAACAAAGTTGATCATTTTAACGTATTATCAAAAGAAAGAAAGATGAATATGATTAGCAAGAACAATAATTCTCATTATAAAAAATGACCAATTCAACTGTATATGATTTCACCACACCCATTTAATTAAATTTGTTGCTATAAATAAAAATATAACAAAATCACACCGAATAAAAAATACCACCTACTCAAATATACAAATTAAAACACTAACCGTAAGCCTTTTTAAAATATTATTATATTTTAAATATTATTATATTTCTTACCTTTAAAGAGACACTACGTAATAGATAATTCCAAGGAATAATTGGTAACTAATATAAATTACGAATTGTCCATTTACGTAAGTATCTTAATTAGAAGTTGAAGCAAAAACGAAGATAACTAAATATTAACAATATATTTCTTAGTATTATAGTTAAAACATAAAATGAGTGGTGTATTTATTGGTTCGATGTGAGTAATAAATGCGTTTTAAAATGTAATATTTGAAAATAAAAGATATATTCGTTTATTTCAAATCAAGTATTTTAAATAACACAATTTTTTTAAAACAAATAATAATAAAAAGTTATTAATGATACATCGTATATGACGTTATTGTCCCTATTATATATTTGGTCTCAAATTTTAACAAAAACAAAAGTATCGAAACAAAAGCTAAATAATTAAAGACTTCTACTTACTTCCTATCTTATATACTTTCTATAAAATTATTAAGATCCTCTTCACTAAGAAACGAAACATTAGCTAGAAAATGAAAAGATGTGAAGTTAATATGAATTTTGGATTTTAATCTTTTTAAATTAATAAAATGAACGTACTTGATTAATAATTTTATAAGGTAAAATTTGTTAAAGTTTGAACTGAAGTTCGATTGAATCCGTAACTGACACTCTAGCTCCGTCTCACTGTCTAACAAGACAAAATTTGAGGGTGGATTTGTGGTATGAGATTGAAAGTTAAATAGCACTATTATTAATCCGTCTAGTGATTTAAATTTTTTCGTAAAACATGTTTTTGTTTCTCAAAAATGTTTAACTAAATATTTTATTAGAGAGTTCAAAATTTATTTTGCCTAGCTCTTGTAGCTCAGTTGGTTAGAGCATCCGTTTAGTAAGCGGGAGGTCTTGAGTTCGACTCTCAACAAGAGCATTTTATTTTCTTCTATTCCTTTTTCTCCGAATCGTTATCTTTAATTACACACTTACTATCGCGTGGGATGCATGGTTGAGTACATGTTTAAGTTTATGTAGGGCGGGTTCAACCATGGTTGATTATGTGAAGTAGTACATGTTTAAGTTTATGCAGGGCGGGTTCAATTATATTCTTGAAAATTCAAAAGACAGTTTAAGATTCATTTTAAAAGACATAACTGATTGTATATGAAAACTGCGTGCTGAATTAACTGATAATTGTACATCTGTTTATATACTTTGAACAAGTACCATTGTTAATCTTTGATCTTTCTTAGCTATGTTCTAAGCACATTAATATTATTCCCTCGGTTCCAATTTATATGTGACGACACAAAATTTAGAAATAAAGAAAGTTTTTCTAAGTTTATACTGTGTCCCCAGATTATTTTTTTTTTGGTTCACTTCCATTTCCATCACATGAAAAGGTATAATCTTGAAAAATCTCCGAATCAATTGCTAGCTGCCCTTTTCTCCTTTCTTTATACTCTGGATTGCCATGGTTCATCTTTTTGCTTCACATCAAAACCCCTCATTTGAAGCCACTTTCTCCAGCTTTGGTACAATAATAGGTTGGCTTCTCTGTAAAGATGTAATGCTATCAGATTGAAAGATACAAATTGACATGGTTACTTGTTGCACAAAGTTTAAGTACTGAACAAGTGATATTCTTTTAGAGATATTGGGTTCATTATAGTCAACTGTTTTATGTTTTTTAACTTTATAGCTGAAATAAACAAGTGTGGAGAACATTTCACTCTCAAGAAACATTGCAACTAAGTGCTCTTTACTCCAAATATAAAACAAAAAAAAAACACACACATGAAAGAGAAAAAGAAAACAGAGATATCAAAGAAACGGAACAAAATATCAAAGAATAAGAAAATTCACAACCGGGAGATTTTTGTTATTCAGAGGTTCAACTTTTTTCAGGGATTACCTCCAGAATGTTTTGATAGAAACCTGTAGTACATATTGCTACATCAGAATCATCACCAATGGCGTCGGCTAGTTTAGCAGATTCCTCTGTCAAATCGGCTTTCACCTGAAAAAATGAGGAACAATATTGTAGAAGACATATTTTAGCTTTTTTAGGCCTATATTAAAATAGCTTAACGGGGACTGATGCAGTGTTCAAGTAGCACCAAGTCCTATAAATGTTGAGGATGAAATTTAGACTCTAATTTTTTTTATAACCGTGATGTCAGGCCAGTTTGCGCACACCTCAGCTAATTCCACAAGGTATCTACTACAATAACTTTAGACTTAAAGTAGGCTGAACTTAGAAGTTTTAAGATGTAGCTATATCAAAAACTGAAATTTCATATAGAAAAGGTACAAGGTTTTCATTTACCTCCAAAGCTAAATCACAGATTTGTCAGTTTGAGTAAAACATGACCAGGCAAGACATGTAAGAAGTATAAGTGATTAAGTGGGTAAGAACGAATATCTGCACGCTGAAACTATCACTACCAAAACTTACTTTCGACAAATCCAGGTAGTATGAAACATTACAAGGAAGATCTGGATCATTTTCATGTATCAGCCAGTAGGTAGAAGTGCTACCATATCATTGCCAGAATGAAAAAGGCTGTAACCAGGATCTTTTGGTAACCTTCTAGTTTGAACCACATCCCGTTCCTTCCAAGCGCTATCCCATAGGCCAGCTGCAGAATACATACTTGCTAGAACCACATAGCCAACTGCATTTGTAGGTTCGATATTGCACAAATGCCTGGCTGCTACCTTCCCAAGGTCCATATTGCTATATATGCTACATGCCCCAAGAACTGAACCCCAAAGAGAGGCACTAGGTTTTATATTCATCCTGCAAATCAAATCATATGATTCATTCAAACAGCCGCTGCGTGCGAAAATGTCCACTAGGCAAGAGTAATGCTCATCTCTTGGAACAATTTTATATTTTCTAACCATCTCACTAAAACATTCCCATCCTTCAGCAGTCAATCCATTATGGCTACAAGCAAACAGGAGAGACAAGAATGTTATATCATTTGGCTCAAAGCCTTCGCGCTCCATCTTCTTAAAATATGAAACTGCATCAACTCCTCGACCATGCACACCATATGCGGAGATCATTGACGTCCATGATATTACATTTTTCTTCGTCATGTGCTGAAAAACATTGTTGGCATCTTCAATTTCTCCTGTTTTTGCATACATATCAACCAAAACATTACTCATTGCCACATCAAGAGTGCTTTGATATTTGATCGCAATAGCATGTAGTTGTCTCCCCAAAGACAGTGACGCTGTATTGGCACATATGTTGATCATAGAGCACAAAATTATGCTATCAATTTCCCTATGATTCCGATGTAATTGACAAAACAGTTCTAGGCACTCATTTATATTTTTACCTTCACGTGCGTATCCAGTAATTAGCGCAGTGCAGGAAATCCTATCCTTGTTCTGCATCTTCTTGTATATATAACTTGCATTGGCCAGGTTTCCACATTTCACATAGGCATCAACTAACGCCCCACTAATAATACTATACGACCCATAACCAAGTCGAATGATACATCCATGTATCATACTGATTTTCGCTAGTCCACCACAGTTGCCACCTCCTACAGATGCTTTGAGAACACTTCCCAATGTGAAGCAATCGGGAAGTATACCTTGTCTGAACATCCAACGGAACAGCAGAAATGCATCAATGTTATAACCTCGAAAAGCATATCCAGAAATCATGACATTCCAAGAAACCAAATCTCTCTCTGCCATTAACTCAAAAACACAAAAAGCATCCTCCATTTCGCCGCACTTGGAATTAAAATCAACCAACGCACTCTGTACATATAAATTATCCACAAACCTACTCTTCTGAATGCACCCTTGTATTTGTTTTCCTAAATATATACATGACATACTCGTGCATGCCCTCAAAACACTTCCATAAGTAAACTGATTTGCCCTCACCCCTTCCCTATGCATAGCAACAAACACATTAAGGGCTTCTTGTGAATCCCCATTCTGAGAGTACCCAGATAAGAGTGCAGTCCATGAAACCACATTCCTTTCAGGCAATTTATCAAACATCTTGCGGGCGGACACCATGTCACAAGACATTGTGTAGAAAATGATCAACTTGGTTCCCAAATGAACATTTGAAGGAAACCCAGTAGTTATAATATGGGAGTGAACCAAACGACCCTGCTTATGAGCCTTCAGGTCAATGCAAAGCTGAATTATATTTGAGTAAATAGTATAGTCTGCTTCGATAGGGTTGTCAAAAGCAAGCCTTAGAGCTTCCGTAAGCCTTTTGGCATTACAGAGCGATTCAATGGATGATTTCAGGGGACGGAATTTAGGGATTGGGCTAAGCCAGTTCACTACATTTCTATACGTTCGATTCATCATTCTTTTGCATTTTTCCTTTCTCTTCAGAAAACCCGATACAGCAGATAAACTAAAAATGAAGAAGGAGAAGAGATACAAATAGCCTTCTTTTCAAGTTTTCCGCTACTTATTTCATTAGAGATGAACAGATAAATTTTTCACCAAATTTCAAAAAACAGTTGCTTAACCAATTGAAGAAGTTTGTTGCTTCTGGTAAACTAAGAGCTTCTACAAGCTTCGATCGACTCGGTCTGCAGCTACTAAACCTAATCGCTGCTACGAATCCAGCTGCAGCTGATAAGCCCAATTGCCCAAACAAAACTGAGAAGTGAGAACTGACAAAGTAAGGGTTTCAACTTTAAGAAAAGATTTTGGTGCCAGCCACCGTAGCAATCGCCGGCGCAGCCATTTCTACCAGAATTCCGAATAGCTCGATACTTGGGCTTAAGCTCTCTACCAAATTAAAGTGAGTAATTGTACAATTGTAGTGCCCTCCTTTTTTTTAAAAGCTATTTTGCTTTTTACAAAGATTTTGATCAAATAAGCCGTCTCTGTCATCAATTCCTAAATCTTGAAATCATAAAATTTAAACTCAGAATTTTTTTATTTCTTCTTTTTAGTTTTTAACCTGCTGCTTGATATCCACATGGACAGAGGGTTCCTCATTAGGGTTGAAAGGGTTCTTAGCAAAGACGACTTCATATTACTTACATTCAAAATTTCAAATAGAAAATGAATGAGTACTTATCAAATTGAACGGAAGTTTGAAAATTTTGTGAAAGAAAATGACTTTTGCTCCTTAGCTTGAGAAGTCATTTTTTTTAAAAAAAAAAACTATTTTGCCATGAAACATTTTTAGTGGGGAAATATTTTCAAAGCAGTAAAGATTGAATTTTAAGAAGAAGATCAATCCAAAAGTCCAAAGATACTCAGAATTAGTGCAAAAATGAGAAGTGGAATTAGATATGACCCTTGCCATTCTATGGACTAAGAATATACTTGTAAAAAAGAAAAATGTTTCTTTTAAATGCATGTTTCTTAACTGGTAGTAGTTACATTTTCCTCTTGCTTAGTAGAAAACACTTGAGGAAAAGTTCCAAAAAAAAGTGAAGACAGAATCAATCTGCATTGTCATCTGTGCTCAATCCTGCCAGTCGCTTGAACAAATATGCTGCTCTTATTACCTGTGCATTTGACCTGATGTTGCTAATGATACTTTCACGCTCCAGTTTTGCCATCCATTCTTCATAATCTTTACTGGGATGTCCAACCGAAATGTTGGGAATGTGTTGGAGTTTGTGCCAATCTGAAACTTGAAGTGCTTCAGGCATTTCTCAAATTTCCAGCTTCTCAAGGTTACTCAATGATATCAACTCTTCAGGGAGCCTACTCAACGAGTAGCATTTGAAGATTTGCAGGTATTTGAGTCCTGCCATTGCACCTTTCCCTAGCTTCATCTCTTGTATAGACATTAGTTGATCCATCCTGAAAAACCTGAGTCCACGAAACCCATTCTCTGATATTGTTATACTGTCATCTTGCTGATCATATCGGTCAAAAGCTTTAACTAGTTTTAGAACTGACAAGTTGGTTAACTTCTCCAACACTTGAATTGACTCTGGATGGAGATTGGTGTTCACCAAAGTTAGCTGACAAAGCTTAGGTGGAAATACGCAAAAATTAACTGGTATTGATGCTAAGCCTCCCTTCAACTTAAGCTTGACAACATGACTCAACTTAGATAAACCAGCAACCAAATATATTTTCCTGCTACCCTCTACTTCCAAACACAAGGATTGAAGGCTCTTAAGCTCTGCAAGTGAATTACATAATTGATTCATGTCTAGGTTATCAGCACTTCCAATGAGAAAACCAACTTTTTGGAGCTGAGTCATTCTAGTCAGGTTTTTATGGTGCATCCAGTGATGAACAGGTATGCTGCCTAGAGTTTGGAGATTGTTAGGTAGGTCAATCTTCAATAGGCTGGGGGAATTTATGTAACCAAGTATATGCCGTAAGTTCTCTAACTTCCATAAGACATTAGGAACTTTCACAGAATAAAACCTAGACATGGGCATATCTATTGTTTCCAAGTTTTGCAGACGACTTATCGAATGGGGAAACTTCTTAATACATGTCTTCCATCCTATGCCTAAGTACTTCAAGGAACATAGTTTCCCAATACTATCTGAGATCACATTTAAACCAGGAGAGTCTATGTATAGCACTTTGAGAAGTTTGAAACTACTTGTACAAATACACTTTAGGTTAACTAGTTTAGCAGATGAATCAAAGCATAGAAGGGATCTTATATACGATTTTGAATTTCCCAAATATTCGTACCTCTCGAGTGGAGTATAAAGGACACGGTGCCAAGATTCAGAGAGGGATATAGATGGATTATCTACCTCGAGAAACATTTCTTCCTTGGCCTGCATTATATAAAAGTCTCGTAGGAGATCATGGAGCCGGCAACTTTTGACTCTGTCATCTGCTCTAACTTGGATTACTTATAACATATTTCTGCCAATGAGATCATCTAGATAATCCTCCACGATGTCCTCTAACTTTTGTTCTCCATTTTGATGAATAAGACCATGGGCAATCCATATGTGCACGAGTTGCCTCACAGGGATGTCTTTGCCTTTTTGGAGAAGGCCTAAGTAAAGAAAGCAAGATTTTAAATGGGGAGGTAAGTCTTTATAACTCAATGCCAAAATTGCTGATACACCATAACTTTGACTTCCAACGAGGTGTAAATCGAGGTTTCGTTGTACTCTCTTACCAGCCAAGAGGCCTCCAATGACAGTGATTGCCAGTGGCAAACCGTCACATTTTTCCAGAATCTCTTTCCCCACGCCCACCAAGTCATGTGGAAACTCTCTATCCTCGGCATTTTCTATCTTGAGAAAGAGTTCCCAGCTCTCCTCTTTACTCAAATACTTTATGTTCGTAAAGTGTAGTATGAGCATCTGCATGCAAGGCAACCTCCTTACTGCGGCTGGTAAGTAGCAATCTACTTGACTTATTGTTGTCAGGAAATGATCTAACAATGAGATCCCATGCTTCTGTGTCCAGATGTCATCAAGAACAATGAGATAGCATGTATCTTTCAAACGCCTCTGGAGCATTTCCTCCAAACCAGCCTGTGACAATTTGTCCATCGTATCGACTATCTTCACTTTATCTTCTTCTGGACTTGCCAGTTGTAAAATGAGTTCCTTGATGATCTTCATGGGCTTATAATCTTGGGATACATAAAGCCATGCCCGAATGTCAAACTTTTCTCTGATTTGAGTTTGGTTATAAACTTCCTTCGCGAGAGTCGTCTTGCCGACGCCCCCCATACCAACAATTGAAGCAACACGAAGCCGTTTGTCCTCCTTCAGAAGATTGACACGACAGAATTCACATGCTTCTCTAGACCAACAGTATCTTTATCGGCAATCAAGGGCGAGGAGAGTCTTCGTTCACGCATCTTCTCACGTGTTGTGCTTGAACCTTCCCCATCTCTGAGACCTTGAATATGCCTGATGCCATATCTTTCAAGACTGTTGGATATTTCAAGTATTCTGGTCTGAATTGATTCAATCTCTTTCCCTACTTTGTAAAGACCGTATAGTTTCTTAGGATAGAAGATACACTTGATGAAGAAACTTTGACGTTTTTGGGACTCAACTTGTTGGATGAATATTTCAATGACATCCTCAGCATGGTAGGCAACTGCTCTGATTTCAGATACCCAATAGCGGATTGTTGCGGCTTCATCTTCCTCTTGCTTAATATATCTGCATCTTTCAGGAAACACTTCATGCGCACAAGCTCGTTTCACACTCCTTCAATTCCTTGTTGGACGTTTTTCAGGAAAACAATTTTTCTCTGGAAAGATCTAGAAGCCGCTCTGCAACATAGGAAACTGCTGCTTCAGCCATCTCTGTTTTTTTTTTCTTATTTCTTGTTGCTTGTCTGCTTAAATTTCTGAATTAGTGTCTTATATAACTATGTCATTCTATGGGATAGATTGCTGCAATGATACTTTACTTGATCATCATTGGATGATACTTTACTTCATCATCTTTCTTAAAGAAGGATGAAACTTTACCTTCTTTTTCTCTACTGTTTCTTTGTTTTCGTGTTCTACAGTTCAAACCTTAGAGCTGAACTTGTGTGAGCCCAAATTTTGGATGAAATAGATGAAGTTCAGACATTCAATTGTTTATGTGTCGAGTTTGGGAAAATATTAGAAAAATGAAATCAACTACAATGGATTACGCAAAGTTCAGTTGTTTTACGACATCACTTGCTACAAACCTCAAGTACAGGATTTATGCCTTGTGGTAATTATATATGGAGATTGGAGGCCAAGTCTTCCAGTTTAAGATTAATGTCACCTTTTCAATTTTATATGTGTAATGCTTTACTTTTTATGAAAGTTAAACTACTTTTTCTAATATATCTTCATATGTCAAGTAAGTAGATAAAGTGAGTGGAGAATCATGAGGTTGACATCTTCATATAACAGAAAATTCAATTGTTAAATGATGAAAGATGCATATGCATCGGAAAAAGGAGACAATGAGTACTTTGCCGCATGCAAGGTAATAGTTGAAGATGTTGAGATACAATTAGCATAATAAAAAATCAACAATATGCATCATAATGCATAGTAAAATTTATGAGCAAATGTGGCAATCCTCCTTCTACGAACTAGCTTTCCACATTGAGTCAGACCCAAGTGTCATATTTTTATCGTTACCTTTTTTCTATTTAGTGTGGAAAAAGTTTTCGCGCAAGGGGATTTAGTTAACCTTCCTAGGTGAATGTACATGCCTTTTGTAATCTGAAATGTATGAAAAAGCTTCTGCTGAACCTTAGTGTTTTCTCTTAAGTTTTCCAAATACCAACATAAAGAAGGGGCAAAGAAACAGAAACTTTAGAAAAAGATGGCAGACATTGAAGCAATGACAGCCACTGGAATAGGAACCAAAGAAAAATAACTCCATCATCCTCCATGGGAGGTCTTCTCTTCTTCTTTAAGTGACTTTCATAGGGAAACTTAAATTAAGTTGATTATCCAACTATCTTATCACAGAAAATAGAAACACTAACACCATATTTGGATGGTTGTTACCTGTTATTTTGTATTGTATCGTATCGCGTCGTTAGTTCACATACAAAGTCTGTTTTGGTTGTTACTTAGATTTTATTGTATCGTATCATTTATATCCCCATTCTTAGTTAACAACAAAAGGACCCATTTTGTGAAACGACTGAGTTGGTATGATCGTATCGTTATCTTAATTTTTTCTTTTCATTTTATCCCTTCACTTAATAATTCTATATATCCTTCACCCTACCCTATACCCTACTTTTCTTGTAGATTTATCAATGTGTGACATTATGTAACGATGGAGAACTATACATTATTTTCGTTAAAACAATACAGTACAATATAGTTGAACGTTACGAAACTATACGTTATAACCATTCAAACAAAATGTTAGAAGAGGGGTAGCAATTGGCTAAAGTAATATATTGGATAATGTTAGTCAATCCAGTCTGTACCAAACCAAAAAAGAAATGAACTTGTTCCAGACTAACATTATACTTATCCTTCTTTAAATTATGCTAAGAAATCAACCAAAATGACATAAACAGGGAAAAAGAAGAAAATAAATTTGTTGTCTATTAAATTTTTGACTAATAAAAATCAAGATTACGAAAAGAAAAAGAAAAAAAAATATTTTTTGAATTAAAAAACTCCCTCAGGCAAATGTTTTTTTAAAGATTCAAGGAAAATTTTCTCTTGGCCCATGTTCCCGTTGTACTTGCAGCCATATTGCTACACTCCTGTTCTTGGATCCATTCTTCATAATCTGTGCTGGGATGTCCAACCACAACGTTGGGAATGTGTAGCAGTTTCTGCAAATCCGAAACTCGAAGCCTAGCAAAAAATTCTTTAGGCATTCCTCGAAGCTCAAGCTTCTCAAGGTTAGACAATGATATCAACTCTCCTGGGAGCCTCGTCAACGAGTAGCATTTGAAGATCTGCAGGCATTCGAGTCCTGCCATTGCACCTTTTCCTAGAAGCATCGCTTTCATAAACACTAGTTGATCCATCCTGAGAAACTTGAGTCCACGAAACCCATTCTCCGATATTCTTATCCTATACTCTTGATACCTATCATAATGATAAAAGGCTTTGACTAGTTTTAGAACTGACAAGTTGGCTAACTTCTCCAATACTTGGATTGAATCTGGATGGAGATTTGAGTTCACCAAAGTCAGCTGACAAAGCTTAGGTGGAAATACGCAAGAATTAACTGGCATTGATACTAAGCCTCCCTTCAACTTAAGCTTGACAACGTGACTCAACTTAGATAAACCAGAAACCAAAAATATTCTCCTTCTACCCTCTACTTCCAAACACAAGGATTGAAGGCTCTTAAGCTCTGCAAGTGAATTACATAATTGATTCATGTCTAGGTTATCAGCACTTCCAATGAGTAAACCAACTTTTTGGAGATGAGTCATTCTAGTCAGGTTTTGATGGTGCATCCAGTGATGAACAGGTATGCTGCCTAGAGTTTGGAGATTGTTAGGTAGGTCAATCTTCAATAGGCTGGGGGAATTTATGTAACCAAGTATATGCCGTAAATTCTCTAACTTCCATAAGACATTAGGAACTTTCACAGAATAAAACCTAGACATGGGCATATCTATCGTTTCCAAGTTTTGCAGACGACTTATTGAATGGGGAAACTTCTTAATACATGTCTTCCATCCTATGCCTAAGTACTTCAAGGAACATAGTTTCCCAATACTATCTGAGATCACCTTTAAACCAGGAGAGTCTATGTATAGCACTCTGAGAAGTTTGAAACTACCCGTACAAATACAATCAAGGTTAACTAGTTTAGAAGATGAATCAAAGGATAGAAGAGACCTTATATACGATTTTGAATTTCCAAAATATTCGTACCTCTTTACTGGAGAGTAAAGGACACGGTGCCGAGATGCAGAGAGGGATATAGATGGATTATCTACCTCCAGAAACATTTCTTCCCTGGCCTTCATTATACAAAAGTCTCGTAGGAGATCATGGAGCCGGCAACTCTTAACTCTGTCATCTGCTCTAACTAGGATTACTTGAAGCATATTTCTGCCAATTAGCTCATCAAGATAATCCTCCACAATGTCCTCTAATGTTTGTTCTCCCTTTTGATGAATAAGACCATGGGCAATCCATATGTGCATGAGTTGCTTCACAAGGATATCTTTGCCTTTTTGGAGAAGGCCTAAGTAGAGAAAGCAAGATTTTATGGGGAGGTAAGTCCTGATAACTCAACGCCAAAATTGTTGATACGCCATAAGTTTGAGTTTTGACAAGGTATGAACCGAGGCCTCGGTGTACTCTCTGCCACTCACTTCTTTGCTTCTTCTTCCCAGCCAAGAGACCTCCTATGACAGTTATTGCCAGTGGCAACCCATCACATTTTTCCAGAATCTCTTTTCCCACGTCCACCAAGTCCTGTGGACACTCTCTATCCTCAGCAAATACTTTCTTGAGAAAGAGTTCCCAGCTCTCCTCTTTGCTCAATACATCAAGTTTGTAGGGTGTGGCATGGGGATCTGCATGCAAAACAACCTCCTTCTGGCGGCTGGTAAGTAGCAATCTACTTGACTTATCGTTGTCAGGAAATGACCTAACAATGAGATCACATGCTTCTGTCGTCCAGATGTCATCAAGAACAATGAGATAGCATGTATCTTTCAAACGCCTCTGGAGCATTCCATCCAAACCGTCCGCTGACAATTTGTCCATCGTTTCCACTATCTTCACTTTATCTTCTTCTGGATTTGCCAGTTGTAAAATGAGTTCCTTGACGATCTTCTTGGGCTTATAATCTTGGGACACATAAAGCCATGCCCGAGTGTCAAACTTGTCTCTGATTTGAGTTCGGTTATAAACTTCCTTGGCAAGAGTCGTCTTGCCGACGCCCCCCATACCAACAATTGAAGCAACACAAAACCGTTTGTCCTCCTTCAGAAGGATTGACACGACAGAGTTCACATGCTTCTCTAGACCAACAACATCCTTGTTGGCAACCAAGGGAGAGGAGCGTCTTAGTTCACGCAGCTTCTTATGTGTTGTGCTTGACCCTTCCCCATCTCCGAGACCTTGAATATGCCTGATGCCGTATCTTTCACGACGGTTGGATATTTCAAGAATTCTGGTCTGAATCGATTCAATCTCCTTCCCTACTTTGTAAAGACAGTATATTTCTTAGGATATAAGACACACTTGATGAAGAAACACTGTAGTGTTTGGGACTCAGCTTGTGGATGAATATTTCAATGACATCCTCAGCATGGTAGGCAACTGCTCTGATTTCAGATACCCAATTGCGGATTGTTGCGGCCTCATCTTCCTCTTGCTACATATCTGCATCTTTCAGGAAACACTTCATACTGACAAGCTCATTTTGCATTCCTTCAACTCCTTGTTGGACGTTTTTCAAGAAAACAATTTTTTTCTGGAGAAGATCTATAAGCCGCTCTGCAACATAGGAAACTGCTGCTTCAGCCATCTCTGTTTTTTTTTTCCCTCTCTATTTCTCTTTTTTTCTTAGTTCTTGTTGTTTGTCTCCTAATATTTCTGAAATAATGTCTTATATAACTATGGGATAGATTGCTGCAATGATACTTTACTTGATCATATTCACTAAAAAGGATGATAATTTACTTGATCAGTAATCATTGCATCTTCTTTCTCTCTATTTTTATCAGCTGGTTTCTTCTTTTTTTTTGCGTAACTAAATTTCAGGCATTCAATTGTTTATGTGTCAAGTTGGGAGAAAATATTAGAAAACTGAAAGCAACTACGTTGGATTACGCAAAGTTTCAATTGTTTTAAGAATTCATTTGCTACAAACCTGAAGTATAGAATTTATGCCTTGTGGTAATTACATACCAACAAGACTCTTTCTTGAGGAACTCAAACATCCATTGATTCGACTATATTCAACTAATTGTATATGAAGGCCAAGTCTTCCTATTGAAGACTAATATTACCTTTTCAATTTTATATGTGTAATGCTTTTACTTTTTATGAAAATCAAAGTACTACTACTTCTAATATATCCACAGAACCTGAGGACAAGGGTGTGGTAAGTGAATGAAGTTAGTGATGAATCATGAAGTCGGTATATCACATAACAGAAAATTAAATTGCTAAATGATAGTACAGAACTAGTAGTATAAAACTATAGATAACAGTAAAAAAAACACCATGTTCTCTCCGAATGAAATTAAATTCTTATTAGATATCAAGATCCCAACAAATAATCTCAAGATTACAGGAAAAGAAACAAGAATTTAAGGAGCAAAAAAATAGAAACTTTAGAAAAAGACGGCAGCCATTGAAGCAACGACAGCCATTAGAAGAGGAACAAACAATGTAACTCCAGCACTCTCCATAGAAGGTGAAGGTGCTGGTGCTTCTGCAGCTAAAACTCCAACATTTCCAAAAGCTAAAAGAACCATTAAGCAAATGGTGAAAACCATGACAAACTTCTTGGAACACTCCATTTTTTCTTCAAGAACTTCAACAAAAATGAGAAAAACAAACAATGAGGACTGGTGACTTTGTGAATAATGTATTTTAAAAAAGTTAACAAGAGGAGTGGCTTTTATAGGGGAAAAAAATTTAGTTGCATTTCCAACTATCTTATTACAGATTTTTTTTAAAAAAAAACTTAGAATATATTTTAAAGGCAATGTTAGTTAATCCAGTCTGTAACCAAAAAAAAGAATTGAAGAACTATTATTTTCCAGGCTAGTTTTTACTTGCTCTAAGAGAAATGAAGCTCCTACATGTGCAGTGCTACTATAAATAATTGGTGACAGATTTTATTTGATTATTTTGGATTGAGTTATCTTAATTAACTACATAATTTATCCAAAAAAAAAACATTTGTGTAAGTTGTCAGCTTGTGTATGTAATCATTGAGAATGGTTTGTTAAGCAACCAGCACATGTTAAAGCATCAATTAGCTGATTATCATTTTCCATTATTAGGTGGATTAGGTGTTTTAATCTATGTTTTTCTATCCTTAATCCTTTGTTTGTATAATTAAAAAGGTTTCTGATGTATCTTCTTACGTCACCTTTACTTTCCAATCCTTTTTTTAATCAACATTAATGTAATCAAAATTTACTATATACTATTAACTCATACATGTTCGATACTGATTTTCATTTTTTTGAAATGTGTGTAATTCTTCCTTGTTTTTCGATTAAGCTTCATGAATTTTGTCTCGTCCTGATTTTAAGAATACTTATCGCAAAAGGTACCACGTATTACTAGTCCACAATTGTTTACCTTGTAATCTGACTCAAACACCAGTAAGATGTGGCATATGGTGGCTGTTGATATCAATGAAAAGATGAGCTATGTTAAAATAATTTTTTTTTTTATAATAGGACCACTAACGCAGGAATTAAGAGAAATTATTTTGATAAGTTGATGAACTGATACATCTCTAAACAATTTAAGTGATCAGCACATGGCATTGAAGCTTTAATTAGCTTAACCAATAAAAAACTAACAAACTTACTATCTAATAACAAGTGGGGAATATCTAGTTTGTTTAGTCCAGGCTGTATCTATAAAGCTAATATTACTAGTTAAATTATTTTGACAACCCATCACTCCCAAAAAAATATTTTGTTCTTAATATTCTCGAATAATATAGCTTGAGAATTATTGCTTCTTCCCATAAACTTTTTCCTATAAAAGCCATGTGAATGGTCCTTTCAATACACACTTAAAGACAGTCAGTTTAATCATTCTAGTAATCCATTTCTCAAGAGTTCTCTTTTTCTTCTCTGTATTTTACTGAAAAGAAAAAAATGGAGGGTATTAAGAAGTGGGCTGTTTTCACCATTTACATGATGATGCTTGTCGCTTTCGGAAATGTAGGAGGAGCAATGGGTGCTGGAGAAGAATCACCTGCCCCTGCACCTTCAATGGAGAGTGCTGCTATTACTTTGTTTATTCCTGTTTTCATGGCTGCCTTTGCTTCTCTGGCTGCTTTCTTCTTCTAATCAATTTTTGTAATTTGTTACTTTCTGCTTTGTTGGGATTTCATCATCTTATAAGACAATTTTATTTTTGATATGTGGATGTTTGGTGATTCACTACTGTATTTCCTTTTCAAACCTGTGTTCATATGTTTTACTTGAGCTAAGGGTCTTTTGGAAACACTCTCTACCCTCCCAAGGTAGGGTGAAGTGTGCGTAAACATTACCCTCTCCAGACCCCACTTATGGAATTACACCGAGTATTTGGTGAACATCATGAAAAAATAAATTAAGAAATGCTTAAACAAGACGCCAATACTATAACTCAAAATTACTGGCAAGCCAAATAGCAACCAAACATTAATATGTTCACTGTTGGAAAAAGGAAATTCTGGAAATAAGTTGTAATTCTTTTGATTAGTGTTGTGAACTTAGCGCAAGAACCAAGTTCAGATCACAACAGTATCATCATTTACACAAGAAATGTTGAGTATCGTATATATCAAAGTAACAATTTAGGGGATGGAATAGAAGTTGCATGCTTACAAGTCACTGTTGTTCTATTGAACCAAAGAGTTCCTCGAATGAACGTTTAGGGGCATCGGTACTAGCCACTATCTCCACGACTTTGTAATGAGATTCTGGATGGAGCAATGCCTCGACTGCAACTTCAGCTACCTGATCTCTAGATATTGAGCCTCGAAAAAGAGTATCCTAAATTGAGGGAAGAGAGAGTGTGCAACATTAGATGCAAAGAAGGACTTCTGGAATATTATTGAAATGGAACACTACAGGGGTAAGCATACATAATGTTACCTCTGGTTGCATGACTATATTCCCTTGTGGAGGATCGTTTTTTAGCCCACCAGGCCGAATTATTGTGTAGTTGATGCCAGATTTTCGAATGTATCTCTCAGCTTGAAGCTTTGCTACCAATACGAGTCCCATAACATTAAGGATTATATAGACTGGATTGAACAACTGACCCATTGCAGCCCCATTGACAAGAATTGAACTTATAAGGATGAACCTATCAATACCAAGTTTTTGGCATGCATCCACAAGGTTCACTGTGCCAAAATTATCAACCTGAAAAAATAAAACAATGATAGGATACGTTTCCTGATTTTAACCTAGTTAATCAGAGAAGTGAAAGCTGAATGCTCCAGAATTGTATCGTTTGGACCATTTCTTTTTAATAAAATTGCCCAGCACCATATTAGTTTCTACAACTGACGCTTCTAGATCCCAAGTGAAAGCTAAAGAGGGTTGAGTCAAAGAGCTGATACAGTAATCTCTGCCTCAACTTAACTCCAGAGAGGAAGTTCCAAAGGTTGGTTTGTCAAATGCACCAACTTTTAGCTACTGGAAACGGACTACTTACTTTTACAATAACTCGATTTCACACCCACAGTAGTTAACGTATGGGGAAGGAATACATTAAGTTTCATGGTGTTCATATTTTGGTTGTCCGGGGAGTTCTTCTAAAATGTGCAGACAAGTAAACAAAGAAATAGAAAAGGAAAACAATAAATGGAAAGTAGGAAGATAGAAGGAGGCTTTCGAAATTTCACTCCACGTGCAAATATACTTTTTTTCTTTCGCCAGACGAAATGAAGAAGATAAATCTCTTGATGCCAGAAAACGTTCACTCCACGTGCTAATATTCTTTTTTTCTTTCACCAAACGAAATGAAGATGATAAATCTCTTGATGCCAGTAGACTGTTATGCATAACAGTAAAAATTGAGATTAAAGCTTTTCGAGTTTGAATTACTCTCAACTACCTAGCGCTTGGCTAAAAGATGTCAAGAGGAGGTGTAATGAAGTAAAATTAAAGGAGCAAACAAACAAAACAATAAATACTACCATCACCATAACAACTATTAGTCTATTATCTTCAAGATGATACTTGAATGCCAATTCAGTAACTAGAACGTTCTTTTAAGCGGAAAAAATTGAACTTCAATTCCTATAACGTTGGTCACTCCTTTTACATTTTCCTGTTTTTTCCTGCGTATCGAGAAACATTTTAAGATGATGAGGACTCTCCAAAAGACTATGGATTCCATATTGAATACACCAACATGTTCTTGCAGTTGTAAACCAACAAGCAAAGTGTGATAAACAAGCTAATATGACTAAACTTTAAGTACTGAAAAGACGTGCATTGCATAAAATGAGACGGAAACTCCCATCAAGCCTATCACAAAATATCTCACTTTGCTGATCATCAAGATCAGGCGTGAAGGATCTGGTAAATACTACTATTTTGTGGATTGAAGTTGACTAACCTTCCAAGGTGTCAACAAGTTCCACGAAGGCTGGAAACCTGTAGCACATATTACCGCATTGGAATCATCACCAATGGCATCGGCTAGTTTAGCTGATCCCTCTGTCACATCGGTTTTCACCTGAGAACAATCAGAACAATATGGAGTTCCCACCGGGAGTATTCATAAACAAGTTGGTCCTTTCCAGAGAAGGTATATGTTTCCTTCACTATCTATTTTTCCCATTTGCAGAAGAATGTATTCAGCTTTTTCTAGCCTATATCAAATAGCTAAACTTGGAGCATTGCAGTGTTCAAGTAGTACAAGTCTTATCCATGTTGAAAATGAAATTCGACTTATTGTGGGCCAAAGTTAGAAGGTTAAAGATATCGCTATATTCAAAAACTGAAATATCTGATAATAAAGTTAGAAAGTTTTCATTTCATCTCCAAAACTAACTACAGAACAGCTTGAGTAAAAATGACAAGGCAAGACATGTAGTACGCATAGGCGGGTAAGAATGTATATCAAAAAACACAAAGTTTGAAGTTTTCTAGTTTGGAAAGCGAGACTCTCTGAGTAATAAATAGTCACTTGTTCCTAGATTCTCTAAAATGTTTTGAGAAAGCTGTCCTACTAATGAAATGGAAGTTCCAAACAAAAATCTTACGGGGTAAAATAACAAAAATTTGTGACCTAAACTTGCAAGTTGTAATATTTATTTGGTTGGACTGAATATACCAAAGTCTCATGCACTTAAAACTCTACGACGCCAAAGTACAGCACCCCACTTATAGCTTCTTATGAAAAACTTAAGAAGAGCTTCCGGCTCGTAATCAAAATCAAAAATTGGATTATTTGAGCTCCAAGTTTTTCAGCTTCCATATGTACACAAATTAAGCAGATTTTACTGTAAAACACGTAATATTTCAAATTACAACTCCATTCTCATTAATAAATTGGAATTTCACTTTACAATAGCTAAGTTGTGCGGACTCTTCATTCTCGTCCAAAAATACACTACTTTTGGAGAAGCAGACATTCAGTTGTTGACATTTTTTAGGAGTTCAAACAACACAATTCATCATTATTGCTCAGACTCATGCTTTATGTAACAAAGTCAAATTTCTCAATTAATAGTAATAATAAGAACTTAATACTATTTCGATTATCCATAATTAGTAAAGTTAATTCAACAACCACATTATTAAATTGACAACTTGATTCTGAAAGCCCTAAAACCCCTCAGCTTTGCTATTAACCAATTTATAGCAAACAAGAATCCCAAATTAAAGAAAAATAAAGTAGTACTCACAATTTGAAGAAAAGGGTTTGCTTCGGGTAAAACAGATTTAGCCTTGTCAACATCACGAACCCCAGCTTTAACAGCAAAACCCTTAGCCAAAAGCTGCTCAACAATCCTCTTCCCTGTGTTCCCAGTTGCACCAGCAACAAATATTTTCTTCTTCTGACCAATACCTGCTTCTTTTTCCTCCTTAATTTCACTTCCTTCCATCTGTAATCAAAAACGAAAAGTTAAAAGCACAATTATACATTACCCATAAAGAAGATTCTTGAAAATTTGAAGTGAAAACTTGTTGCAGAGACGTACGTTGTTGGTTTAAGATGGAAAAATGTGATTTTTAGTGTGGACAGAGAATGTATGGAGGTTTGAGCAAAAGGATTCTGAGCAAGAAAAACCAGTGGTCTTGCTTTCATAACTTGCTGTTCCATAATTAATTTCAGTTAATTAACCGCCAAAAAATGTTCTCGAAAGTCCTTTTCTTTTTCGATAATTATCTCTATTAAAGTTCGATTCATCTGAATTTAAGAATGTATCTAAATACGTGTTTTATTCGAAATTACTAAAGAAAATGTTTGATTACTATATACTATAGACTTTTTTGACTCCATGAATAATGTTTGATTCTTATATAATGAATTTCTCAAAAAAAAAAAAAAAAAAACTTTGATTTTAAACAAAAGAAAACAAAAAAAAAATATCACGAATAAAAAAGTACTGTATTATTGACTGCTAGATTGACAATTCAGTGATGATTAAGCTAAAAAATAAGAAGGACCTGGAAAAGAAGAATAAAAGGTGAAGATCGAAGCCTACTAATAGGATAATTAATCAATTCAGCTATTAAGACTCCTCGTTATTATTGTTATAGTTATATTTTTCACCTTTTTAGCATAATATTTTCTGCCTTCCTTTTACGACATGAGATTTTACTAAAAAAAATGTAAAAACAAAAAATCGCCTCAAGATGGCATAGAAAAACAAAAAAGAGCAAAATTAATGTAAGATAACGAAATGTCAAATTTCTCCCAATTTTGCTTTCTATCACTCCATGGAAGTAAGACTAACAATTGTTATAAGTCGTCCAGTTTATCTTGATTTCCAATTGATGACCAAGAAAGAAGAAAAATGAAACAAACGGATTTTGGAATTACATCCAGCTACGTATCCTTTAGACCCTTCGCCCGCGTGAAACGGGGGTCAATAAGCTCTCTTTCAATCATTCACTTCCATTGTTACAAGATTGCAGAGAAGGATGTTGCAATATAAATTTGTTGCACTACGATCTTTGAGTAACTATATTTATAAATCGTGTGCTTAAACATAGACATAAAACATCATCTTGACAAGCTACTGCTGTTTTATAGAACCAAATAATTCCTTGAATGAACGTTTAGGGGCATCAGTACGAGCTACTATCTCCACGACTTTGTAATGAGATTCTGGATGGAGTAGTGCCTCAACTGCTACTTCAGCTACCTGATCTCTAGATATCGAGCCTTCGTAAAGGGTATCCTACATTTTAAAGGAAAAGCAAGGAGAATATTAGGAAAATCATATGGCGCACATACACGTAATCAGACAACGAGTAAGCTGCATATTGCTACCTCTTGTTCCATTACGATGTTTCCTTGAGGTGGATCGTTTTTTAGCCCACCAGGCCTTATTATTGTGTAATTGATGCCAGATCTTCGAATATATTGCTCTGCTTGGAGCTTTGCTATCAATGTCAGTCCAAGAACATTGAGAAATACATATGCTGGATTGAACAACTGTCCCATTGCAGCTCCATTGACCAGAATGGAACTAACGAGGAGGAATCTTTTAACACCAAGTGTTCGGCATGCTTCAACAAGGTTTACTGTGCCAAAGTTATCAACCTGATCAAGAATGGTACAGTAGGGATTAAACAATAGTAGTGGAAGGACAATGATGCATAATTCATCAAAACCCCACCAAAATAATAATTAGGGAAGTGATTCAACAACTCGAAGATCTGATAATTGCTTCATAATTTACTCAAGTAGAATAACCAAGAGAAGGTTGTGAGTTTGATGATCTGGAAGGCAAGACATCAACAAAAGGCCTTTTGGCCATAATAAATGTGTAGAAGGAACATAAACAAATCTAAGGTGAAAGCAAGCCAAGGAAATAAGATGATATACGTTAGCACCCTATACATTTTAGAACATTTCCAGTCTTGCTCTCAAGTTTTTGCTTGAAAACATTCGAGAAGCCTTCTCAACTTTTTGATTGTATTAAGCATTCAACCCCTAAGCAAACATCAGAACCGATATGATGTTTGCTTCATCTGCGGAACGGACAGATAAGTGTACAAAATAACTTTTTCTCGAAGCTCCCACAGGTTACTTATGTTATTCTATTATAATTTCTGGCATTAGCTTATTTGGTGTGCCTCTGGAGATCCTCAATCACATCCAATCCGGTTGAGAGCTATGGAAGGAAATCAAGAATGGTGCTTTACTTAACAGGCAAGGAATTCTTTCATAAACCTGAAACACGACCAACGGTTCAACAATAATTGATTTTCTGACAGTAGATCCATTCTGAGTTCAACCTAGTAGGCCTTAACCTGCTTAACCACGCCATTCTTGATTCCTGTTTTCCAGGCGTTATAACAGGCATTATTATGAAGCTAAGATCTTAAAGTTTAAATTGGCGTACTAAACTGTTCAAATTTGAAATTAGCTTAAATGGCAGACCTAGGATGGATTAATAGTAGCACAAAAAGCAGGGGAAAAGGAGAAAAAAAGAAGAAACAATTGAACCAACAACCCCATCAGAGAAACAATTGATAATAACAACCTGCTCCCCTGGATTCTGAGAAAAGAATGAAAAGTCTCCATAAACAGAAAAAAAAATATTAGTAACATGAAACTGTTCAGTCTTCCATTAACTTTTCTGCAGTGTAGACAAATCGTCAATGGAATGAAGTTTCCTTAACTCGAAAGACCCTATCTACAATATGAGGTGTCAGCAGCAATATCTTGTGGTATCATACTCATAAAAGTCTCCATTGTGAATCTTAAAAGAACAAAAAAGACTTTGTAATATTTTTCCAATTCCAAGAATGTGTGCATGGGTAGCAACGGTGGAAAGGGTGTCATCATGTAAAGAGGCTTCTGTAACTGAAATTAGTCATAGACTCTTGACAAACTTAATCAACACTTCTTTCTTTTGTTTTCATCTTATTAATTATTATATTTTGGCTTTTTTTTCTTTTTCCTTTGAGCGGATTTGCGTCCGGCAATTCAAGTTATTATAAAGATCATCCAAATGAGTCTATCAGTATTTCATAAAGAGAAAACATAACCATAAAATTTCAGAAAAGATAAGTAAACTGCTAGGTTAAAAGTAAAACAGGATGGGAAGGTAGCAACTAACCTTCCATGGAGCCAAAAAATCCAGTGAACGCCGAAATCCTGTAGCACATATTACTGCATCTGAATCATTCCCAATGGCATCAGCTAGTCTTACTGATCCCTCTGTGACATCCGCTTTCACCTGAAAATAACATATTAGAATTGATTTCGTCATTCCAAGTGAAATAACTCGAAGGTTTACAAAATAGAAGTGAACATTGTACTTCATAGTTAGCTCTTCACTTGCATTCAAAAGCAGCTTTTCCCAGATTTTTTTAAATACATTTGCAATGCCTTTCGTTTGAAAAATAAAATTCAATTACCTTTTATACGAAATTATCATATTTTAAAGGTTTTGACATAATCTCCAATTTTAATCCTTTCCTATCTAAAATACAATAAGTATCACCTGAATACATCAGCCAAAACAAACTCTTTAAGTTGATGGAGGAGTGTAAGCAAGATCAAGATTTGTTCAAATTGAAAGATAAAAAAAGAAAAAAAAAGACAGAATTGGACAGACAACCCAATATAAGTAGGTGAAATTTAAAGGCATTTCCTCTATTAACAAAACTTTCTTTTAGCTTAACATCTAACCCTCAAAGTAGCATACTTTGCTGCATAATCAACTACTGATAAAGCAATTAACTTCTACTTTTAATTTCTAAAAAGTTTAACAAACCCACAATTTGAAGATCAGGGTTTTGACCCGGTAAGGTTGATTTAGCCTTATCAACATCAAGAACCCCAGCCTTAACAGCAAAACCCTTTGCCAGAAGCTGCTCAACAATCCTCTTCCCAGTGTTCCCAGTCGCACCAGCAACAAATATTTTCTTCTTTTCACTGATACCCACTTCCTCTTCTCCTTCAATTTCACTTTCTTCTATCTGTAATCAACCAAAATACAAAACCAAAATGACTTACCCCACAAACAGCAGAAGCATATTTTCTTGAAATATTACGTAATCTTGAGAATTGAAAGGAAAAATGTGATCTTTTTGTTAGAGAAGAGACTTACATTTGCTGCTCTGAGCCGAAAAGAGTGAACTTTATTGACAAAAAGAGAAACAGAGGGCCGTTTAGAGGTGATAGAAAAGGCCGATGTTTTAAGGAAGAAGAGACCAGTGGCAGTAGCCATGATTTTTCTTACTCGAGCCCCTGCCAATTAAAATAAATTTTTAGTCATTATATTCCTCCAACTTGTTTGGTCGAAAAATTTTATTTTGTGTGTGTGGCAAACAATATTTGTGAGAGGTCCTCTCATATTTTGACAAGTGGATTATAAGTTTCACTTTGGAAAAATAGACTAAAACATTTCTCTTTCTTTCAAATATGCAAAAAAAAATATATATCTTTTTTAATTTTATACTCCTTCCTCTATTTTTATTGACTTACCAAGTATTTCTTAATTTATCATCTTTAACAAATCAAGAAGGAAGATTTTTTTTTCATATTAATTAATATTGAGTTTATGTCTTTGAAAAATATGGTGACTAAAATTGTTTAAAACTTTATCAATTAATAAGTGTAACATATTAAACTCACTATATCAATCATTAGATGTGTCAAGTTAAAATTGACAATCAAAAAAAAAGGAGAGAGGGAGTATTTTTTAATTTTTTCTTTCAAATATGCCTTTGAATTATTTTAATTTTTTTAAAAAAAAATTGGAGGTAGGGGAAAGAGAGTTTGTAATATGGAGAGTCGAAGATGAATACAGATAACCAATCAACTGCACTAAAATCTTTCTATAACTCTTACTAAGTATTTTCATTTGTTAAAAGCTTGAATTTAATATTTTAATAAATCTATTTGTGATTTGGTTTAAAACAATTATTTTATTAATAGAAATTAAATTAATTTTTTCAAATGTTGAAATCAAATCAATAAATCAATTTTCATTCCTTTGTTTTTTTGTCATGTCTTTCATATATTCGATTTTTGTCCCCCTTTTTTAAAAAAATCATATGATAATACAAAAAAGATTGATCAAAATGTATACAACATTCTCCAAAAAAACGTATGCATTGTCTAAAGAAATCTAATGAATTCTTTCAAATATTTTTCTTTATAAAAAAGTTAAAGATTTCGTTGTAATTATCAT